CAAAATCTGTCCATTCCTATTTCTTTTGTTATATGTGAAAGCGTATATGTATGTATACATGAGTGTGTGTGTGTGTATATATATATATATATATATATATATATATATGAAGAAAAATATACTGAAAAAACAAACAAAAATCCTAATATGCAATTATGCTGTTTTAATGTTTAATGTCAACGTCAGACGTTTCGGTCTAATAGACCATCTTCAGGACATATTCATAAAACATAATTAACATACGCCCATGTGATGACGACGTGATCATATTTAAATGGAACACTGATCTTATAAAAGATTTCAGTTATCTGTTTGGATTGGTATTGCTTTTATGTCCATCGTCTTTTTCATGTTGAATTGTATATGGTCTATGTTAATTATGCTTTATGAATATGTCCTGAAGATGGTCTATTAGACCAAACGTCCGACGTTGTCATTAAACATTAAAAACAGCATAATTGCATATTAGGATTTTTGTTTGTTTTTCAGTATATTTTTTCTTCATACTGTTCTATATCCATATATTTGTTTTTACATATATATATATATATATATATATATATAAAAACACTGTTTCAATTTTGAAGAGTCAAGAAATGGCTCTCAGCTGACTTGAGAGGATCTTTAATATAAACCATAAAATTTACTACATTTTTATCCCTTTTTCTTTTTGTGGTGGGGGCTGGATGGTGATATGAGCTAGAGAAAAAATGCAAATTAGCAACAAAAAATACATCATGTTTCCAAATCCATTTCAAAGAAAAAAAAAAAGAAGGAAAATTCCAAATGAATTTTATTTTAAATTCAAAAAAATCCTGTAGTTTGACTTTTTGAGTTAAAAGTGATCATTTAAAGAAAAAGAATTACAAAAGCTTATGTAGTCCTGGGTATGACAATAAACTACATCTGGCAGCAAAGCCTTTAATCAGGAGGTTTTGAGGAGCATGGAACCACCACTTAATTACTGTTGTTCCAAGATCCACCCTGATGCAGAGTGGTAACACCTGTTAGGGTCCCAGTTATGGGCAAATAGTTAACCACCAAACTGGGGGTCAAAACATGAAAATATAAAATTACATTAGAAAAAGATTACCAGTAATACATTTTCATAGGATAAATAAAAAAATTACCGGCAATACATTACCAAAGGCCACAAGAAAATAAAATTTTGTAATTAAATGACTCATAAAGAGTTGATATGCCATTAACCAAAACAAAGCAAACCCAAGCTTATGCAAATGAATCACAGAACAGGGATTAGGTGGGAAGGCTAAAAGGCAAACATTACTAAGAGCTACAAAGTCATGATTGACTACGTCCGGAAGAGACATGGCACATAGAAGAAGAAGAAGAAGAAACTGGAACATGTCAGACCATCAGACATATTCTTTAACCCAGGTTAGTTTTATGATTCATTCATTCATTTTCTGCAGCTTATCAACCCATTGCAAGTTATTTAAAGCCAGAAAACATCTTTAGATTGTAAGAATTTTCCTTTTTAGATAATGGTTCAGTAATACCAGTCTTACTAATTAACCCATAGCTGGAGGAGAAGAGATAGATTCATACCTTTCTCAAAGGTATTTCCACATAAGTGAATATAATGCATCTAACAGGAATTGAAATTTGGTTCTCCTATTAATAAGTCCAGTCTATTATACATTACACCATCCATAAATCCAAACTTAAAACACTTGGTAATCCCAAGTGGTCATCCATCTAAATACTGACCAAGTTCGATGTTGATTAACTTTGGTGATTGTATGGGAACCAATGTTGAAATTTGAAAGAAATTTACATTTATTAAATTACATAAAAAATAATAATAGCATCAAATACAAAATTTGCAAAACAACCTTGCACAAAATTTTCCTTTGTGTGCCATGTAATTAGGCAATATAATAAGTTCTAATTATAATTCTGTTAGGCTCATAAAAACAATTATAATTATTATCAACAAAATATTTACTTCAATTCATTTGACTGTCAAAAGGAGTTGAAAAGGTTGATGATTCATAAGCATTGCTGGGTTTCTGGTTTGTTTTGACAATAGTTCAATTTTACAAACTGAGAGGAGATAAATCTCGTATTTTCATAAAAGGGTCAAAAACAGCGTTAATTTTTTTAAAACTAATTCACACAAAGCAAGGCAATAATGCTACTAAGACACAAGGGGCTACTGGGAGTGACAGAGAATGAGAAAACTTTAAAAGGAACAGGAAACCCAATCCTAAACAGGAAACAAGGGACAAACCTCTACTCCTATTCCAATACCTTTAATTTTGTGACAAACTTTCACAAACAACTATAAAAAAATAATTGTATATCCCTTTAAATTTTTAGAATTTTCTCCTTTCTGATTTTTTTCTTCTGTTATTTCCTTTTTCCTTTTTTTAAAGTTCAGCTCCCTGAATAAGTTGACATTTACCTTGTAAATGTCTAAACACTTCTGTTTGTCAGACAAACCAGACTTCTTAAATAGCTCCAAATCAGCTCCAAATTCAATCAGAAATTTCATACCATGGGATCTTAACTGACTTTCCCCTTTGGTTAAAAAAAAAACACAAAATGTATCTCTTTAAACCATGCCTTTTTGCAAACTTCATTTCGGCAGATTTTGAGACTATAAGATTTGAGCTTCTTCTGTTAAAAACTTTTGAAAACCAAATTTTATACATATATTTTTTATAAACTGTCAGGCTTCATTTTGGTGGTATTTTTATAACATCAAATTGAGCCTCGCATATACAAAGTTTTATACATCAAATTTTATTGTAGCTATCTTTTTACTGTCTGGCTTCATTGTAGAAGTTTTTTTTTATTTAAAGAATATTTAAAGAGTAATAAACCTTATTCTATTGTGGTGCAGGACTTTGGGGTTAAAGGGAACTATTGATTTACCCATGTCAAGAAGATTAATGGTGAAGGATAATGACAAGGAAACACATGGGTAATTTTAACAAAACAATTTAAAGAATTTATTTACAAATTTACATGCTTGAAGTTGTGTTAGTAGCTTGTTTCAGGAAAATACATAAAAAATTTTTAAAGTTCATAGTTTCAACAAATTGAACATGAAGAGGAAATGTTCATACAACAGATTAAATGATCTGATACAAAATAATATTAAAAAATGTTTAAAATAAAGGTAAGAGATTTTGTTGTTCACAGAAGGGATATATGGTTTGCATACATTCAAGAGTAGACAGAGAGAGATAGTTTGAAACACTTAGCTTTCTTGGATTGTTGAAATAAAGTTTTTTGAAGCGCTAAGTAGTTGGTTAAGGCCAATATTATAATTATCAAGTAATTTGACACTGGCAAAAATTTTAATGCTAGACATATGAACAGAAACAAATCTTTTCACGTGACTTTGGACACTCGTCTCCTGTTAATTTAATATTTTTTCCTTATTTTATATCAAAAAGGATTTCACATATGCTCGCTATTTTCTTTTCTTTGTAAAGACAAGGTTTACATTGGTCCAAAGAAAATTTCATATAGGCTCACAAATTTATTCCCATCTTTTTCCTCAGCTCACCTGAATTTGAAGGGAGTGGTTAAAGAGAGTTATTATTATTTCATACGCACCACAATTCTTTTAATAAATGTTTTTTTTAAACACTCCCCTCAAAAGAAGGAGTAAAAAACAAACCTAGTCTATTGTATTAATTTTAATCTTTATTTATTTATTTTTATAACGTTTTGCATTTATTTTTTATTATATAAATTTTTATAGTACTACTCTCTTTTTTAACTTTTCAGTTCAGTTTAATAATTGATAATTATTGGAAAAAACTGTTCATTATAAATAACCATAATAGTAATAATTAAAAATGTAAATAGGAAACAACAATAATTAAGAATATCTTAGCTAATTCTGATCATAATTAACATTCATTAGACTAAATGAAAAATTAAATTAATTAAATTTTAATAAAGATGAATAATCAATAATTGCTTTATTTGCAATGATAATTGTAACATAATCTTTTTAAGATTAATTAAATTAATTATTAAAAATAATGAATAATGTGGGCTAAATAATAATAATAATCAAATTGACGGTTTTTCATTCCACAAAGAAAAACTCTTAAAAATAATTAAATGCGACACTTCCATATGCAATAATCCTCGTATGTAAACATCAGCTATTGTATCTCATCTAATCTTCCATATTTTGAAAATTACTTCCATTTTGCATTCTCGGCGCAGGTACTCTTTTTATTAAGGAGTGCCTCAAAACTCGTGCATGCGTCCATGGAACGCTGTATAATTGGGGACGTTTTATTTTAAATTTATTTCTCTTCTAACAGGATGTGGTTGACGACTTAAAGCGGACATAGAAAACTAAAGAATAGGGTATTTATGTTTGAGAATTATCTGATATTTGTATCTCGGATTCTTCGTCGTTTTTGCTTTACTTTTTTTTTACTTATTTATTAATTTCTTTGGCGACCCGACCGATTTAGCAAATCCAAACATCGCACATTTTGGGATACGAAGAGGAAAAGAAAAAAAGTTAAGAATTGAGTGTATTTTAGTTAAAATTTAAAAACAATGGTGTGTATAATGTTTTTGAAATATGTCAGATCAATTTAACGTTGTTTTTATTTTTACATTTAATGCTGTTGCTATTTTGTGTTCTGAACTGTTATTGTTTTTATAAACGGCCTTGTTATGATCCTGTGCAGCTATTTTAAAGAGACTAACCACTTTAACTTTAAAGTACTCGTTTTTTATACTACAGATGCTACTTAAAACTAAAAGAAAAAAAGGGACAAGTTACTGATAACACATAAAATAAGTGATTTTTATTTTGACTAATTATAAAAAAAACAAAAAAACGGAAACTCTCTAGTCAAAAAAAAAAAAAAATTATTCCGTAATTTTTAATTATCTACACAGCTTTCTTTCTTGCTAAATAATACTTTTTAGTTTTTGGTGCGACAAATTTAAATTTGCTTGACTGGATCCGGAATTAAAAAAAAACAAAAAAGATGTCTATGACAACTCCTTCCTCAGAAATTGTCAGTGTGATAATTCCAAGGTTCTCTGACAATAAATATTTGCTTGTCGATCACAAAAGTCACGGATTTTGGTTACCCACTTGCAGAAGGCGCGTTGACCAGGATTTAAATGACACCGTCTCCAAATTATTGGAAAAGGTAAATATAAAAAAAAAAACCGGTTTACTACTTTATTCTATCTGATAATTTTAATTAAATTAACAGTTTAATGATAATAACAACCATAATCATTTTTTACAGCTGTTCTGTTCATTTTTAATTTTTATAATTCCAATTTTTTAATCGTTTTTTTTTTGTTTTTTATTAAAACAAACTTCTTAAATTCAATTAGCAATGTTCAAAGTTAATTCTTCTTTCTCTAACTGAATCAAGTTCACATTTAAAAATTTATTTGTTTGATTTTTTTTTTTTTAAATATATTTTATAATAATTTTATTCTGTAAAATTGAACTTTTACTCTACAGTAATTTGGTATATTTTTTTACAAATTTTACTCGATTGTTGGTGTGAAAACGACATTTTAAGTAAACTACAACAAAACCAAAGTTTCCTATCGATTCTCATGAATATGGCGATGAATTTTGAATTCATTCTTTAAAAATAAGTAACTGTAAAATAAATTTATCACATGACTCGGTGTTTTTTTGTTTAAAAAAAAAAAAAAGCAATTGAATATAGTTTTAATTTGCTATGTTTTTAAATCTTATACTATCTTTTATTAGACTTCTTGTATATATTTTTTAGAGACCCGTATTTGAGAATTTTCTCCTACAAAAGAAGACGCAGGTTCGAACCCTGCCAGAGAGCATGTTTTCTAGATTCCACTAATACACATGCCGATAAAAATGTAATTAAACAGTAAAAGCGGGGCGTCTATTTCAAATACGGGTTTACACTTAATTGATTGCTCATCATTATTTTTTTACTGCTATGCAACGATCTCCGACTTTAGTTCTTTTTTTATCAGTAGTAACGAAATTGCTGTAACTAAAAACAATATTGTTTAGGGGATGTGAGTTTTAAGTGCTTTAAATTCGTTTCCCTCAACTTTCTTTTGTGGTAATGAGCCACACCAACCTAATCTAGGTTGAATTTGGCGGGAGATAGCATCCAGAGCAATTTTCTGTCATTGAGCTTTATTGTCAATAAGTGCATCATTTATTTTAAAAACAAACATTTTTTTTTATTTAACAATTTTAGAAAAATAGTGATTTAACTTTTTTTCTTTCGTAAATGTTACGAAAACTAAAACGTTTTTAAGTTAAATCGCTTAACGACAGTTATATTTTTTAATTTTTTTTTTTTTTTTTTTTTTAAACCTTTCATTTTTAAATAAATTGTACCAATATTGTGAATTTAAAAAAAAATTATAACAATAAGAGACTAAGGTCGTTTCCTCACGTGGCAGTGGATATTGAAAAGTTCTTGGATTCCGACCAAAATGCCCTCCTCACCAATTAAATTTTTTTTTTTTTTTTTGTGGGGGTGGGGAATGTGGGTCGGGCCAAGAACCTGTCAGTGTGCCCCATGTAGATTTGTTGTGCAAAATACCCCCCTTTTTATTTTTCTACTACGATTACTCCTATTTATAATTTATTTTTTTTAATCGCGTTTTTAACTCATTTTCCACAAATAACACTTGCTTGTCTCAAAATTATTTTTCCAGATAAAGAACAGCATCTTTTTAAATCATTTTTTCTTTACTTTGAAAAGGTCGTTTCTTGCTTTAAATTGCTAGAATGTTTTTCTTTTCGCCATAAGTCAACTTGAGTAGCTCGTATTTGAAAAATAAATAAATAAAATTATGGTAGGGATTCCAAAGTAATCGACTGTCCAAAGTTTTTTTTCTTTAATAATTGGATTGTAGAACATCAGAAGCAGCCAATACCTAAAAAAATAATAAAACTGATTCTGATTTGAAACTCGTCTTTATTCGCATTTCCAGATAACTTTAGTTCCGGGTATTAGAACTATTTGGAACCAAACCTACAAGAAGTTAGGTAGGTTACTTGATTTTTAGTTCTGGCCTCTTGCCTTGTGAGTATCAAATTCTCAAAGCCTGCTTTCCTCATGTGTCCCAGAAATTTTTGATTCTTGATATAAGATGTTGAAAAATAATCCCAGCAATCCCATTTTGTTTCCATTTTTCCTTAAAACTTCTTCATTGTTCACATGTTCTGTCCATGGTAACTTCAGCATCCTTCTATAAAAATGTATCTCTGTTACCTCAAATCTCTTTATCCATGAATAGATTCTCTAGATAAGAGGATTGATAGCAGTTCAGCACTCTTTTTTTGGTTCTCACATCTTCCTATGTATATAAATTTTTTTTCTGGATACTATGCTTACATTTATAATTATGTTACAATGTTATAAAATATTTTTATGCTTTTATTTTTTCAAGTATTGTAAATGTTTGTTTTTTTTCAAAATAACAATTTTAGTATTTCTACTATGATACCTATGAAAGGTATCTTAATTGGAATTATCAACCTGTTGAAAAATAATTCCAGCAAAACATTAAAGTATATTTTCATTGTATTCATAATTGCCAGCATCTGTAAATGAGAGGAAAAAAAAAAACAAATATAAGTATGAATCGATAAATCCATAACATCACATATAGTTATTAGCTGAATTTTTGAGCTGGGAAAATGTTTTGATCTCTGTTTAATGTTCACCATTGAATGAAGTGTAAAATAAATATTTGTTGTGGAGGCACGATGGAGTAATGTATAGCATCTTGGATTGAAGAATTGGAGAGCTGAGTTTGAATTTCAGTCAAATACATTACATTCACTTACATGCTAATACCCTTGGGAAAGGTATGAATCCTCTTCTTCTCCCCCAGCTATGAGTAAATAGTAGGACAGACCAGATTCTATAGCCTTGAATGGCAACTGGTCTACCACAGAAAGAAATGGCAACCTACTGCAGGAAAAAATCTGCCTTGTCAGTCATATATCAAAAAGATACATGATTGCCTAAGTGTGTATCACACATGGCACATGACTGTTGTGGGCTTATTGATGTACCTTCTCTAATTTTTACACTTAGAAAAATTATCAATCCGTGCCTATTTAAATTTTTTGCTAGACATGCTTAAATTGTAAGCAAATTGGAAATTTTTATCATGAAAATGGAATTAAATTAAAATGTTCATAAGTTTCTGTTTGAATTTCTGGCATGAGGAGTTCTCATAATTTGTTATCTTTTTTTGTTTTATTATCACAACATTTTGGCTGTTATGTCACCCAATCTTTTTCAAATGTCTGTCAATCTGGGTATTTCAAACTGATCTCTTTATTTAATCTACAGGGGTAGACTATACTTGTACTGCTATTGATCTCTATGGATATCTTGCTCAGGATGAACAATAACTGAGCGTTACTAAAATAAACAAAAAACAACCAAAATCCCTAGATATGGACAGCAGAACAAGAACAAAGTCTTTAATTTGACATTCCCAAAAGGCTACCTAGATTGACAGATGTTTAAGGAAGGCTTGAAGGCATAATGGCTAAAACTTTGATAATAACAAAGACAAGGATGTTAGTCCAAATGTAAACAATAGCCATAAGTTTATTCAATATACAGCAACTAGCATTCTGTATAATCAATCAATTTTAATTTTTTTTTTTTTTTTTTTTTTTTAAGAAAATCTTTTTCTATGGAAAAAGGATAACAAATATACATATGTGTATTATCTGATTTGTTCAATGAAAAATCCTCTTTTTTCTTTTTACTGCTCTTCAGTGTTCATTAATATGAACATTTTTTTAACCACTTTTATTTAAGCAATGTCTTGAGTTCCACAAGATCTTTTAACCTTTTTTTTCTTGCAATCCAAATATATTTATATATTAGATTAACTCTGAATCTCATTTAAGGAATTTTTCTTTATTCCAAAAGAAAAATATTCTAGATTAAACATTACAAATTTTAACAATGGCCACAAACTTTTAAACAAAAATCTTAAGGCACATTGCATTAATATAAATATCTTTTGAAGTTTTGATTTTAGTTTTAATTGGAATAAAATACCATAAAATTAGTCACAAAAAATAAAAATTACTTTTGCAGACTTAAAGCAGATTGTTCTTAATGTTAATTTGTCATTGAAAACTAACTTTAATTATGCCATGATTAATGTCTGCCAACAAAAAAATTAATGTAAGACATCTTCCAAAAATAAAAAAGCTATTATACAGGATTTAATGAAAATTATTGTCTAAATTTCTGAAAAGAAGAGTTATCATTATTTACGTTCAGAATTTCCCAATCTTTGTTATTAACCCTAACGTTTTGGTTATTGTGTCCTTCAGCCTTCTTTAGTAAATCTGGATAACCTTCATAAAATTTTGAACTGAACCCTTTATTCTATCTATAGGGATAGATTGTTCTTTTTCTGCTGTCCTTGTCTAGGATTCTCTCATTTAGTACTGCTCAGTCGCAACAGCATTCAAACAACGAACTACTATAGATTAAATAAAGGGTCCATTTCAAAATTCTCTAAAGGGTTACCTGGATGGACAAACACCTGAAGAAGGCTAAAGGACACAATGGCTGAAATGTTGTGATAACAACAATGATAAGGACAATAGTCTCAATCTAAATCATATAGATGTTAATGAAAATTAGTTAAATTAATTATGACTTAACAGGTTTTTGAAAAAAACTTATTTAAAATATAATGAAAAATACCTTTGTATACAGCCTGTCTGTTACATGTCAACTTGGTTCAAAGGTCAAGTGGCTGTTGCATCAGTTTCTTACCTTTTACATGATGAAAGTCCACATAGATTTATGAGCATTGGACAGCTAAAGTATGGATGGCCAAAAAAGGGAAAACCTGATATTATCCACAATGACAAAAGTGTATTCTTACCATTAAAACATCACCATATGATAAGCAACATGAATTAGTTAATAAAAACATTTTCTATATTCAATTTCATGAAAAGTAAACTAGAGATTTTCAGCATATATCAAAGAGGGTGCTTAAAAGTTTTTTGTACCATCTAAAAATAGAATGACAAACATGCTATTCCACTTATTCATGTTGCAGTTCTACACACTTGATATATCATTTCTTGAGTTTCTTTTAACTGCTCCAAAAAACATTCTGGTTTTTGATC